GTAGGCAGCACATGAACTTAAAATCCATGTAAACGTAAGAATTATTGTGCTTTTTTAGTAGAAAATAAGTGCAACTGTGGTAGACCACACAAAATGCTCAGAAAAAGCAAACCAAAGCAACAACAGAATGGAACCAGCTGTTACTCTGCATAATTAGATATATAATAGTAATATAACTAAGGTGCTTTTTTCAAGTAAAAACTCTTTTGATTTCATGAACATGACATATTTGAAGCAGGGCTGACAAGCAGTCTAGAATACTAGATGACGGATTGCTGCAAAATATAATTTTCACTTTACTAGAACTAAGGCACATATATGATTCTATCCCCCAGTGCTTTGCTGTAATAATGAATTTAGTCTGAAACTATAGCCTTGAGAAACTGGATACATATCTATCACTGTAACTGGAAAGAATGCTTCGCTTGAAAGGTAAGGATTCTTTCTGCATATGAATTTGTACAGAAATGTATAGTACTGCTGCATGGACTCTGGCCAGAATGCATCCCACCAAAATGCCTGCTCTTGGTCCAGATGTAGTCAAAGTTTAATTTCATAGAAGGCAATGTTTTGTTTTACTTCAGTTGTGGGATACATAGGCCAATAAGTACCCAATGGTACTTTATTAAAATTATATGCACACTTTCTAATAGTGCCAGTTACTCCTGTCCACTTCAGGGGAAAATCAACAACATAGATACATCTTTTTTTAGTTATTAAAGAGAGTCCTGATACATATATAATTTGATCATACCTGGAAAAAAAAAAAAAAAAAAAAAAGCCAAAACTAAAATATGTAAAAGTATTTCTCCCAGGAAAGCAAAACTTAAATTAAGACAAGTTAAAATAAAGTGAGATAATGTATTTGACATTCTTGGGCTATTTCAAGGAAAAACAGGAAAAAAAAAAAAGAAAAAAGAAAAAAGAAAGAAACAAAGGAAAGAAAAAGAAAGCAGCCAACTATTTGATCTCTGACCAAATAAAAATCAAGAAAGACAGCAAACTCTTTGTCAGGCAAATGAAGAAAAGGAAACTGTGAGATTCTATCCTTTGATATGTCTATCAGCAAAAGGGTTTTTTTATTTAAACTACATTTGCAGAGGAAAAGACCGTTTATTATTTAGTTTCTTCCAGAATTTGCAGTTTAGAATTTGGAGCCTGAAAAACTTTTGACTACTAAAATGTATGTAAGTCTTTTAAACGTCTGTATTTTCTTCTGATAGAATTTAAGTGTATGTCGTATACATTCCTTAAGTCTACTCTTATTAAATTTTGATGTTAAACAGAAAGGGAAAACTGTGTGCAACCAGATTAATTTATCTCCAGGGAGTAAGGACACATTAATAATTGAGATAATGTTTTCATATATGTTGGAAGCAAGTGTGCCTTTTCACTTCTTTATTAGAAAACACATTAGGGGAAAATTATCTCATCCTCATCAGTAAGACCTAATTGCTGAGAAAGTCTCTGTTTTCATTGCAATAACAAAAGGATTGTTCTCATTACTTCAAAATGGGAGGAGAAAAAAAATAAATAAAAAAATCAGAAATACTATCAAGCAGTGCTGGAATATATGCCGGTATTACTGAAGAGAGTGTTTACTTAATACACCCAGCCCTGTTTTTGTTTTAAACAAATCAGAGTTTATTGTATTTTTATAAAATACAAGCAAACTCTGGATTGGATAAAAGTGGGCCATAGGGGAAAAAAAAAAAAAAAAGAACTACAACTAAAAATATTAATATTTTTGGCTTTCTGAAGCACTGATCTTTCTGTAAGTTACAAAAAATTATCTTGGCTGATAGCAAGAGAACTCTATGATTTCCCAAGAACACCCATAGGTGTCAAGGCCTTTTGTGAGGTAATGGAATGGTATGTAATTTACTCCAAATCAGTGTACATGATGCTGTATGGATTACATACAAAGCAAACACTGAGTGCGTGATGGGAACACTTGTGCAGACATACTGAAGCATATTTCCATAGCGTCCAACTATACATCAAATGCAGTGCTTCTGATGTTTCCCACAACAAAGAGAACAAAAAAAGCCACCCAATCAGTAACTATGCTTTAAAGTCTTTGCAACAGCACTTCAATATAACTGGTGTATGCTGAAAACAAAGAAACGTAAACAAAAACAAGTATCTATCAACTTTACTTTACAGTGCTGATAGAAAAAATATTGGCATGCTATTTACAGTACTAATAAAGAGAAGTTCTCTCCATAAAGTCCATCAAGACCTAATGCTAAACAACTGATCTGTGGACATACTTGTATTTGCAGCCATCTTGGAAAGATCAGTGGAAGAGAATTTACTAGAGCCACAGCTTCATAAAGGGACAATGATGAGATATTCCTTTTACACTTAGAGTGATGCAATCCACACTCCTATACAGTCTGTATAGGCAAAGAGAATACAGACTGCTCAGATACATACTTCCAACTGCTTTTGTTTATTTTCAGCTTTGTAAAATCACACACACTTTCTGATTACCTTCTTTTGCTATACTTTATTAAACATTCATTCTCTGATAGACAGAACATACCAAATTGAAAGTCAAAACAAATGAGGAATGGCCTAAACTTCTAGCTGGAGTGTAGGGTACGTCATTCTTTGTTAACAGTTTTGCCATTAACAGGAATAATCTGTGACTGTGAGCTGCCCACTGCACCTCCCAAAAAAATCCCTAAATTTTACTATTATTTTTAAGATAATTCATTTAAAATAAACATGTTTTGCTAGCCAGCAGGAAATCTGTGGTTTGTGTTAAGAACAGAAGAGCAAATCCATACAAAAACTCAGCTGACACCCCATCGGTGGCCTGAATTTGGCATAGATATCAGTGTGATTTCTTATTTTTACTTAACACCTTTTTCTTCTTTGCTTTTGGCTTTCCCCCCAACAACCTTCCTTCTTTCATTGCTTGAAATCAGTTTTTAAGATCCCCTGAAATTACGCCAAAAAAATCTTGCCTATTAAAAAAGGTATTATTAATATTTGCAATGTAACTTGCATAAAAATATTAATAATTTTAAATATAATTTATAATGTAAATATTTAGGGATAAGGTAGAATTCTCTAGCTCCATTTATTTTAGCTAAGTTCGATGTTTTATGTAATTTGATGAGCTGGAAAGCTTATTTTATAATTTAATATTCTGTTAACTAGCATACCACAAAATCCCTCCTAACTGTGAAAATAAAACCTCCAACATCACTACAGAGCATTCCATTGGAAAAAAAAAAAAAAAAAATTAATAAGCTATCTCAAAATGTTCTAATTATAATCACTGGGCTTTTATAGGAGCAGATTTAAGACAAATGTATTATTATCTGCTATTCAAGAGAAAAGCAGCAACAGAATTCCCAATGACTGCAAGCCATCTAGTTTTGCTGAGTATATTTAGGTGTGTTCTGAGGCTGTTCTTCTACCCTTTGATGTGAAAATCTCCCTCTTGCCACAATTACTCTTTTGGGTAAGTACTTTGAGAGAAAGACTCTGACACGTTATTTACTAATCGCATATAAAAAATGTGTAGGAGCTCCTTCTCATAGAAAGAAGTTGCACATATTATATAGTATACAAAAGAAGAAGATAATGATGAGAAAGGTAATAATCAGTTTTAAAGAGCTGACAACCTAAATACTCACAGGCTTCCTGTGAACAAGTGGTATACAAAATATGCCGGTTCCATAACACCATGTTTTAAAAATCCATCCACTTTTACTGTACAACCACTGAAGACAGTCTTTGCATCTTTGTAGATTCCTTGTTAGGTTTCCAACTAACAAGAACATCCCCTTATATTCGGAAGATTTTAATTTTGTCTAGATGAGTAAATACCATGCACACATGTACAGACATGTTTCTACTGACTCCCCGTAACAGTCTTGAGTTGAGCAAAAGCTGCAGCTACGCAGAACTAAACAGTATTAAGAGATTACACCTTCCAGCCCAAAGCAAAGAAGAAATTAATCACAAAAGACTAGAAAGACAATAGGCTGTTTCTGTAAATAAGAAATTCTGACATACACTGGCACTATATGTGTTCCCTATTCATTGTTAGATCTGTGTGTAAAATGAGCATATACTGCCTTTTCATTCTAAATTAACCTACCACAAGGTTCTACTGTTACCATCTATGTAAAAATGACATCTAAGCACAAAACCCCAGCGCTTCACTGGAAGAAATGTTCACAGTCACAAGCTGTAGCAGCCGTGGATGTCCCTGTATGGCCAAATGAATACACCAGCGGGTTCATGATCCAAACTACAGTCAATGTTCATCACAAAATAAACCAAACCATCACAGATGTTTTCATATCATTTATCACTGTTACCCTCTCTAAGATGGTGACAAATAAAAACAAACCAATAAATAAATAAACCCTCTTCAAAGAGCTGAAAGAGGCTATCACACAACAGCACCGAAAGCATCATAAGGGGAATTCACAGCCTGTGCAGGACCAAAGTTGAACTCAGTCATGAATGAGCACTAATGCCTTCACTGTGCAATAGCAGGGCTGTAGAATAGGCTCTGCACTGGATTCAGCAGCTTTCTTGGACTGTCTGTAAGCAACAGGAATGGTGCAATAGGCCATCTCAACACATATGTGCCACTCAGACCAAGACGATAGAACTGTTCCTGTGACTGCAGAGCTCCATCAGCTCCTGCTACTCAGGTGAAAATGTGAAGGTTGTAACCTTCACAATATACATTGCAATCTCTGGCCACTTCTCTCTGTTCAGCACCTGCAACAATCTGCTTTTTCTGCATAAACCTGTTGGAGCTCTGAGGTTTCCACTGGTTTTCTGGTTACATCTAGTGCAGTAACGCTGTTGTTCGCACTGGATACATTTTCCAATATGCAGGATCAGCTTAAATCATGTTGGCATTTTTTCAGAGCTAGTGAACGGCACTAGCGCTACATAGATTTACACTCAATGTCTACCTCTAAACTATCTAATTTGGCAAGGAAGGAAAAATGAGGACTTACTTCCCAGAGGTGCTGAGTATTCCTGATGGCACCTGCTTGAACCTTCTCCGGCAAGAGCAGGACTCCCTGGAAGGGCCCAATCCAGGTGCCTTGTTGGATCCTCTGCGCTGCACAAATGCCGTAGGCCAGGCCAGGCACTGTGCTGGTGCACAGGCACACTTCCCGGGGCAGGTCCCGGAGCCACTCTGGAATCTCAGGCGGAGGGGCTGCTGCAGCAGCACTGCTGGTGCCCACCAGCCGGCGCAGGGAATGGAGGGGCCCGGGCATGGGGGACTCACCATTGCGGTTGTCAGCACACATGTCACATCCTGTGGAGCAGAGAGGGAAACACACTATCAGCATGGTGCAGCAGGCCACCACCACCATCACTGCCACAGGCAAGCTCAAGCAGGTTCTGCTGATTTTCTACCATTTCATGGCAGCTCTGCACCCATGCACACTGTGCCCTTTTGCATGTTGCTTAAGATGGTTTTCCTAATCCCACCAAAGCCCTTAGTAAGAAATCTCAAAGGCTGAGCAGAAGCCATGCAGATATTTTGCAAGCCTGGTCTGTTCACAGACCTGCCAAGACACATTTATTTTAACATAGGTGTTTTGTTGGGTGTTTTTGTGTTGGTGTTTTTGGGTTGTTTTGTTGTAATTTTTTTTTTTGTTAAGTTTTAAGATCCACTTTTTTACTAATATAAATAACCCATTTAAACCATCCCAGTGTGTTGTGGTGAGACATTTTAAAACACATTCATAACACCTTACAGGCCCCCCTCATTTGCCTTAACACAGCTCAAGGGTTTAAATGGAACAGGGTTTAATTTAATTTTTATTTGAAGTGAACGTTCATTCTAATTCTGTATTAACATGTATGTGTACGCCTGTCAGATTAGAAAATAAAATTAATAAAAAAGCACCTCAAGAATGACAAAACAGAGTAGGCATGGACATTTAGTTTCTTATAGATGAATCTAGCCTTTAACTTGAAAATATGTACAAATATTACTGATTCCTAGCACACATTTGAAACTTCTTTAAATGGCAATACATGTTCTCTGCCTGTTACATGTAGCTGAGACTAAGAACAAAACCAGCATATCTGGTTTTCTAAGCAGTTCCCCTGAAAAAGAGCAGTTTGTAAAAATGTTAATTTCCCTAACCGCTTTTAATAACAGATTATGATTCTCTGTTTTTGGAAGATTGTACTGTGATTTTTCTGTTTTGAGCAAAGAAATTTTTTGTTAAATATTTCCACTGATCAGTGTTGCACATGCCACAAATGTGAAACATCCAGGAAAATGTTTCATGCTCAAGAGCACCATTTTCTGGAGGTATGCTGAGTTAACATAACCTATTGAAACCCTCTCTTGCACATTTCACTTTTGTAGCACAGTAAAGGTTTTCCTATAAATTTATTCCAGAAATACAAAGGAAAACCAATAACTATGCCACAGTACTCATGTAACAAAGCCTAGACCTTTCCCCTAATAATTTTATGCAACGTACACCCGTTCTTATAAAAATAAAACACAGTATTCACTACAGAAGCTGGAGCTCCTTGGCCTAAGCCACAGATTTTAGACTTGCTCTCTTCCCTGTAAACCACAGTTTCAGTTCTTAGGGGGGACTGGCTCAGCACTTCTTTTCGAGGTGGATATACTATGTATTATGTAGGCCTCTTTCTTACAGAGTTTTCAAAGCAAAAGCTTCCTCTCTATTCAGTAAAAGCTTCTAAATGATAATAAAAGCTGTGTTTTCAAAATACGGCCTCTATTTACTTTCTCTCATTTTAGGCACACTTCCTAACTATTCGTTCCTGTCATTGTCTTTTGAATTGTACCATACAAAAATGATGCATTCAGCAATATGAAAATATTTTAATTCCTCATATTACATGAGGAAGATAACTTCCCTCGAAATCATTGCACCTTGGAGTCCTGCAGGAAATGCATGTGTCCCTACTCAGTGCTTGTGTCTTCCATTTCTCTATCCATTGATATCTTAGCAGAAAACAAGCAAGCAAGCAATCCCTAAGTTGTGCAGCACTCTGATGGGTGCCTCTGCAGAAGAATGCCTGCGAATGAAAGTTGTCACCTCATGCCATCCCTGACATGTCACCCAGGGTAAGGACAGAAGGGCAGGAGGGAAGCAAAGCCCTTGCCGGCACTGCAGCACACCAGAGCAACTCCAGGACAAAGCCACCTAGTGGGGATCCTGCTTATATTGGCCAAAAAAACCGCCTTTTAGATGGAGGGTTAAAGCATTTCCTTAACAATATAATAAAAAGCGACGCTTTTGTTGGGTTAAACCACAACTGCAGAGGAGTTTTGCTCGCTCAGCCATGTCAATTAGAGGTGGCTGGAGGATGAGATTTGTAGGACTCCAGGGAAAATGTTTCTGGCTAGTCCTGAGAGAAGATTATTATGCAGCAGATATTCCTGCAGCCATTCCCAGGCATGATGAATAAAAGGCAGTGAGAACACACTAGCATTTTTTTTGTAGTTATTGCTATTACCACAGCTAGTTTGGAAAGTGAGGTATCACCACAACATGCTTTCTTTCCTCTTTGAAGCCAGTCGTCAAGAAACCCTGTGTTTCTGGCATATTCCAAGATCTCAGGGGCTGCACTGGAGTTAAGCATTGGAACGGATCTCAAATAGGGCAGAAAAAAAAAATAAAAACAAAAAAATAAAAACAAACCCAGAACTACAAACGAAACAAAAAAAATAAAAAAAAAAAATAAAAAAACAACCAAACAAACCACACACAGAAAAACACAACTAAAACAAAACACACAACCCAAACAAGTTGGCATGTGAGTGCACTTTAAAAATATGGCATCTTACCATGCAAATTAGAAAGAAAACATATGACAGGAAAACTGAGGGCCTAGCGAGAAGGCATCTAACCATGATGTCAATCAGCACCCGGGGTAGGCCCTTCAATCCAACCTATGTACACTATTTGACCAACTTCTAGATCTGTGACTCTTCTCCAAAATACCTGATTATTGATGGCTTTCTTGGAGACGTCGAGTCTCAGCAGCAACATTAATTAAACATGTTAAGTCATCTTCACGACTGCACTCAGGAAATCTTAGTGTCAATTTCCTGCATCCTGCCACCAGATATGCTTTACTTTTTACATGCATGCAACTTTTAATACCCACTTAGAAAAACCATTTCTTCAGTTCATCCTGACAATATGTATGCATAAAGCATTTTATTTCTATGTTTTTAAGAAAAAAACATAAATAAATTGACTAGGAGTAGAAATGAACCCTGCGTCCCTATCACTTACCCTTCCAGGAAGTCACACATGGTGATATTTATTTTCCACTATCCAAAAACACTGGTAATGTTTTCATGCTTGGCAGAGGCAGTATCTGATCTCCTGCTGTGTTCCTTTCCCTTTGTCCTGCCAAAGCTAAAAATTTGGAAAATGGAACATCTTCTGAAACTGCTTTGGCTTGTGGCTTGTTGATGAGAGAAGAGTCTGTCTTCAATGCTACGCAGCACTGAAATTCTTCTTGTTGCATGATCTATACATCTGTCCTTAGTTTTAATGCAATTGTACAAATAAAACTATTTAAATTCCTCATAAATGTTTTAAGGACTGGAAGCCCTACTGGACATATTTGAGCATGTCTTGAAATTACGTTAAAAGTTACTATGCATCTTTTCCTCTTCTGTGACTAAATTTTGTGTAATGTTACATGGAAGGCTGTGATGCAAACCCACTTCCAGTAATGTATACCACCCACTTAAAGACAGTAATTTTAAGCAGTGAATTTCTCTGCTTCAAAGGACAAAGTAAGGAAGTCCTTACTATCAGGTAGAGGAAAAAAGGGTAATCTTCAAGATTTACACATTACCATGGCTCACAGAGATGATCAACAGTATCGTCTTCATGGATAGTGCAAAGTAGAATATGGTACAGTGCACCAACATGCTTAATAATAGATAAAAAGAAGGGTGTTTCTTTCAGAGGGAGGGTGCTGTGGTGCACTGACATCACTAGAATCTCCCTACTAGACGGTAACTCTTAAGACACACAAGGGTGTGGGAAGTCCACAAGAAAAGGACATGGTGGGATAAGTGTGAGCTTTCCAGAGGACAGCCACACAGGCTGGCAAGGGAATGTACTGTGTTCTTCCTCCTACTTCAGCCTCAGAGAGCAGCTGTGTGAGTACAGGCCTCCTCCAAAGACTGCTGAGATTAATACTTCCACTGGCTGTAATGGTGTCAGTCAAGCCACAAATGAAGACAAGAAGAAGCAAGAAATGTGAGAAAATTGAGAGATCTGTTGAAAATGGAAAAAGCAAGGAGGACTGCAACCAGAACAGAATGTCTCCTGATAAAAATCAGGAGACATAGAAGGTAGAGTCAGTTGGAAGGCTCCATTGCAAGTCCAGGCACAGCCAGGCTCTTTGGAAGGAGATCAGTTTCTCACTTTATACCTTCATGCTCTATAGATGCGAGGATTAAGGCAAGGAAGATGCAAGAAAAAAAAGAATTAAACTATTTCCTAGTGGAGCTGTTTGGTATGGCTCTTTTGGGAGGACTGCAATATGTTATCGTTTATTTGCCTCCATAAAAATGAACACAGCATAATGCCAGCACTACAGTTCCATGTGAGCACTCTTAAAAGTTCTAAATCTAAGCAAAAGGGAAAGGACACATTGTTGCCCACGAAATACAATTCTAAACACTTTCCAAGCAAAATAATGCTACTACTGCATGTTTTAACAGAAATTTGAGCGGAGAAAGTTTATGTCAGTGCAAGATAGGGTCCAACACAGTGTTTTAACCGGCAAACCAGCTGTAACAATAAATGAAATAAATGTATTTTTGTCTTGGCAATAATATGCTTCAAAGGTGCAGTTATACTGGATACCTGCAGTTTGCCTGTATTAAAGAAGGGCGGCCTCTGACCCTCAGCCTCATAATTCACCGCACACACGCAGGTATCCCGCGTAAGTGGCCATCATTTCACACGGTATTACTCACTTGCATGTATAAATCACTGTGGCTGGCCCCGAGACCCTGGCTAGGCCTGGGTACCCAGCTAAGAGGGTCGGTGAGCTGAATGTGATAGCACCTTTTCTTTTCCTGAGGGCTGGCGCTTGCCGAGGTCTCACGGGTTTCTCGCGTCCCAGTTTCCTCATCGACAAGCTGGCATCAATCTCCTTTTGCGAAATTAATCGCAGCTTCTTGCAGGCCGCCTGACTTGAGGCAGGCTTTCGGGAGGACGAAACACAGATGCGCTTTCCCCCTCGAGTTCCTTTTATTTATTTGTTTATCTGTCCCAAACAGTCTCTCCGGAGAGCGGGGCCGAGCCCGGGCTGCTGCCCGCGGGGCCGGGTCGCGGCGTGGGGGTGCGGAGCTGCCG